GGGGACTCTCCATAGGTGTAATGGTTTTTATACTGTACAGACCGTATATTCTATTGCCCTACACTAACCCTACTCCTAAACCTACCCCTCACAGGAGACTTTCTGCAGTTTTAGATTTTCAAAAAACATAATTCTGCGTGATTTATAAGCTTTTGTACCCATGGGGACCACAATTTAGGTCCCCACCGTGACACGAGTCCCCATGAGTCTGTGTGTAGTCAGGTTTAAGTCCCCACCAGAATATATAAACCACACTCACACACACACACTCATCCGGTGCGACACTTTCACCTCTGAGTGAATCTTGAGTGAGTCTCTGACTGAATCTCTGAATCATTCTCTGAATCATTCTCTATCTGACTCTCTGAGTGACTCTCTGAGTGAATCTCTGAGTGAATCTGAGTGACTCTCTGAGTGAATCTGAGTGAATCTCTGAGTGAATCTGAGTGAATCTGAGTGAATCTCTGGCTGACTCTGAGTGAATCTGAGTGAATCTCTGAGTGAATCTGAGTGAATCTGAGTGAATCTGAGTGAATCTCTGAGGCTGACTCTGAGTGAATCTCTGAGTGAATCTGAGTGACTCTCTGAGTGAATCTGAGTGAATCTCTGAGTGAATCTCTGAATGACTCTCTGAGTGAATCTGAGTGAATCTCTGAGGGAATCTCTGAGTGAATCTCTGGCTGACTCTGAGTGAATCTCTGAGTGAATCTCTGAGTGAATCTCTGAGTGAATCTGAGTGAGAATCTCTGAGTGAATCTGAGTGACTCTCTGAGTGAATCTGAGTGAATCTCTGAGTGAATCAGAGTGACCCTCTGAGTGAATCTGAGTGAATCTCTGAGTGAATCAGAGTGACTCTCTGAGTGACTCTCTGAGTGAATCTGAGTGAATCTCTGAGTGAATCAGAGTGACCCTCTGAGTGACCCTCTGAGTGACTCTCTGAGTGAATCTGAGTGACTGTCTGAGTGAATCTGAGTGAATCTCTGAGTGAATCTGAGTGACTCTCTGAGTGACTCTCTGAGTGAATCTGAGTGAATCTCTGAGTGAATCAGAGTGACCCTCTGAGTGAATCTCTGAGTGAATCTGAGTGACTCTTTGAGTGACTCTCTGAGTGAATCTGAGTGAATCTCTGAGTGAATCAGAGTGACCCTCTGAGTGAATCTCTGAGTGAATCTGAGTGAATCTGAGTGAATCTGAGTGAATCTCTGAGTGAATCTCTGAGTGAATCTCTGAGTGAATCTCTGAGTGACTCTCTGAGTGACTCTCTGAGTGAATCTCTGAGTGAATCTCTGACAGTGTGTTGCAGTGTTTAAAGTGACAGCGCAGCAGTGTGTGTTACGGTTGAAGATCAGAGGACTGTGTGTTGGTGTAACGCTGATGATTGATTAATTGACTCTCTGCAGCGAGACGTTCTCGTTCGTTCTGACTGAAGTAGATGGCAGCCGGAGGAACGGATACTGCAGGAGACTGCTGGTGAACTTCAGCATGATCACACATCACACAGTATTCAGAATGAGAATAATAGTAATACTGTGTAAAGTTTAATGAGTAATGTTGTTATTTTAAATATTTCGTAGTATAAGTAAAGAAAATGTTTATAATGAAAAACTTTTATCACTGTATAGTGATACTGTTAATCATACATACTTAATTATTAATTAAGAATAGACTTAATTATTAGACTAGAACTAGACTTAGAATATTTATATTTTTATAATAATGAATAATTACTAAATATGAAACATTAGAATATTTTCAAATATTAAGTTAAAAAATAAAATATATAATATATACATTAAATATTCCATAGTATGTAGTAATTATGATTCAAAATAAAATATTTGTAAATTATTAATTTTTTATAATTACAATGTTAGTCATGTGTTTTTAATCAAGTTTAATTAGAATATTTATTCTTATTATAATAATTACAAATATTACAATTAAAAAATGTATATGATTTTACATACATTAAATATTCTATAGTTTTTAGTAATTATAATGATAAAAAAAGATTGAAAGGTTTATAATGAAAGAATATTTTCATCAATTTATAATAATAATGTTAACTATGTTTTTTATAATTATTAATTCGAATGTTTATACTTGATATGAAATATTTCAGAATATTTAAAATGCTAAAAGTTTATGAATATTGAATATATTTAATTTATGTTTTATTAAATAACTTACAGTATTTGGTAATTATTTTTTATTCAATACAGCGTTTAGAAATAGTTTGATAATAAGAAATTATTGAAAAGATTGAAAATAAGAAAATATTTATAATGCAAAACATGTTTATCATTTTATTTCATGTAAAATATCACATTTAAGAACTATTTAATATAAAATATTCAATATTTAAATGACATGAAATAGTTGTAATGGAAACCTTTTTCATAGTAGAATTATAATGCTAATAATTCGTTCTTAATATTTAATAAAACATTTTTAAATAATAAATAAATATTTATTACTACTAATAATGAATAATTATTAACTATGAAATAGTTTAGAATATTTATAAACATTAATTTTTTTTTTTTATAAATTAAAGTTGTAATGATGTAATATTTGACATATATGTATTAAATATAATATTTAGTGATTATAATTACTGAAAATAAAGAAAAAGTGTTTATAACAAAAAACTTTTTGATCGTTTTAATGTTTTTAGCCGGCCGGCCGCGGCGCTCGTGTTCCGGAGGCGTACTGCATCATCAGCCGCGCGGCGTGTTTCGGACTCTTCTCAAAGGTGAGGACACACACACACACTCTCTCTCTCACACACACACACACTCTCTCTCTTACGCTAACACTCTTTTGCGCACACACTCTCTCACACTCTCACACACAATCACTCTCTCACTTACTCTTGCGTGCACACTCTTGTGCACACTAACACACGCACTCACTCACTTTCTCTGGCGCACTCTTGTGCGAACACCCTTGCGTGCACACTCTCTCTCGTACACTGTTGCGCTCACACTCTTGAGCACACTCTTACACACACACACTCTCTCACGCGCACACTCTCATACACTCTTATGCACACACACACACACACACACACACTCTCTCGCGCACTCTTGCACGAACACTCTTGAGCACACTCTTACACACACACACACACACACTCTCTCGTACACTCTTGAGCACACTCTTACACACACACACACACACTCTTACGCTCACACTCACACACTCTTATGCACACACACACTCTCTCACCCACTCTTGCGCGTACACTCTTGCTTGCACACACACACACACTCACTCTCTTGCACACTCTTGCACGCACACCCTCACACACAATCACTCTCTCACTTACTCTTGCGCGAACACTCTTGCTTGCACAAACACACACACTCTCTCTCGCACACTCTTGATCACACTCTTTCACGCACACACACTCACACGCACACTCTCACACACTCTTACGCCCCCACACACACACACTCTTACATGCACATACATACACTCGTGCGCACACTCTCACACACTCACATGCACACTCTCACACACACTCACTCTCTCGCGCACTCTCGGGCACACTCTCACACACACACTTAACTCTCTCATGCACTCTTGCGTGCACAGTCTCACATACACACACATTCTTATGCTCACACACATTCACTCTCTCTCACGCACTCTTGTGTGCATACTCTCATACACACTCTTACTCTCTCACACACACACACACACTCACTCACTCTCTCTCGCGCTCTCTTCGCGGTAACACACTCTCACACACTCTTACTCACACACACACACTCTCTCTCTCTCACGCACTCTTGCGTGCATACTCTCATACACACTCTTACTCTCACCCACACACACACACACACTCACTCTCTCTCTCTCACGCACTCTTGCGTGCATACTCTCATACACACTCTTACTCTCACCCACACACACACACACACACACTCACTCTCTCTCGCGCACTCTTGCGTGCACACTCTCACACACTCTTACTCTCACCCACACACACACACACACTCACTCTCTCTTGCGCACTCTTGCATGCACACTCACACAAACGCTTACTCTCACACACACTCTTACACTAACACACACACACTCTCTCTCACACACTCTTGCATGTACACTCTCACACACTCTTACATACATACTTTTACGCTCACACACACACACACACACTCACTCTCTCTCATGCACTCTTTGCTGCACAGTCTCACACACACTCTTAGGCTCACACACACTCTTACACACACACACACTCACTCTCTCTCACGCACTCTTGCATGCACTCATACACTCTTACTCTCTCACACACACACACACTCACTCTCTCTCACGCACTCTTGCATGCACTCATACACTCTTACTCTCTCACACACACACACACTCTCTCTCGCTCGCGGACTCTTGCGTGCACACCCACACAAACGCTTACTCTCACACACACTCTCACGCTAACACACACACACACACTCTCTCTCGCTCGCGGACTCTTGCGTGCACACCCACACAAACGCTTACTCTCACACACACTCTCACGCTAACACACACACACACACTCTCTCTCGCTCGCGGACTCTTGCGTGCACACCCACACAAACGCTTACTCTCACACACACTCTCACGCTAACACACACACACACACTCTCTCTCGCTCGCGGACTCTTGCGTGCACACCCACACAAACGCTTACTCTCACACACACTCTTACGCTAACACACACACACACACACACTCTCTCTCACGCACTCTTGCGTGCACACTCTTACTCTCACACACACTTACGCTCATGCACACTTGCGTGCACACTCACACACAATCATACTCTCACACACACACACACACTCACTCTCTCTTGCGCACTCTTGCGTGCACACTCTCACACACACTCTTACTCTCACACACACTTACGCTCATGCACACTTGCGTGCACACTCACACACAATCATACTCTCACACACACACACACACTCACTCTCTCTTGCGCACTCTTGCGTGCACACTCTCACACACACTCTTACTCTCATACACACTTACGCTCACACACACACACACTCACTCTCTCTTGCGCACTCTTGCATGCACACTCACACAAACGCTTACTCTCACACACACTCTCTCTCACGCACTCTTGCATGCACACTCTCACACACTCTTACATACATACTTTTATGCTCACACACATACACACACACACACTCACTCTCTCTCTCATGCACTCTTTGCTGCACAGTCTCACACACACTCTTACTCTCACACACACTCTTAGGCTCACACACACTCACTCTCACACACACTCTTACACACACACACACTCACTCTCTCTCACGCACTCTCACACACACTCTTACTCTTACACACTTTCGCTCACACACACACACACTCACTCTCTCGCGCACTCTTGCGTGCACACCCACACAAACGCTTACTCTCACACACACTCTTAGGCTCACACACACTCACTCTCACACACACTCTTACACACACACACACTCACTCTCTCTCACGCACTCTTGCATGCACTCTCACACACACACTCTTACTCTCACACACACTTACGCTCACACACTCTCTCTCACGCACTCTTGCGTGCACACTCACACACACTCTTACACACTTTCGCTCACACACACACACACACTCACTCTCTCTCGCACTCTTGCGTGCACACCCACACACACTCTTACTCTCACACACACTCTTAGGCTCACACACACTCACTCTCACACACACTCTTACACACACACACACTCACTCTCTCTCACGCACTCTTGCATGCACTCTCACACACACACTCTTACTCTCACACACACTTACGCTCACACACTCTCTCTCACGCACTCTTGCGTGCACACTCACACACACTCTTACACACTTTCGCTCACACACACACACACACTCACTCTCTCGCGCACTCTTGCGTGCACACTCACACACACTCTTACACACTTTCGCTCACACACACACACACTCTCTCTCTCGCGCGCTCTTGCGTGCACACCCACACAAACGCTTACTCTCACACACACTCTTACGCTAACACACACACACACTCTCTCTCACGCACTCTTGCATGCACACTCTCACACACACTCTTACATACATACTTTTACGCTCACACTCTTTGCATGCACACTCTCACATACACTTTTACGCTCACACACACACACACACACTCTCTCACGCACTCTTACTCTCACACACACTCTTAGGCTCACACACACTCACTCTCTCTTGCACACTCACACACACACACTCACTCTCTCTCACACTCTTTGCATGCACACTCTCACACACTCTTACATACATACTTTTACGCTCACACACACACACACACACACTCTCTCTCACACACTCTTACTCTCACACACACTCACTCTCTCTTGCACACTCACACACACACTCACTCTCTCTCACACACTCTTTGCATGCACACTCTCACACACTCTTACATACATACTTTTACGCTCACACACACACACACACACACTCTCTCTCACGCACTCTTACTCTCACACACACTCTTAGGCTCACACACACTCACTCTCTCTTGCACACTCACACACTCACTCTCGCGCACTCTTGCGTGCACACTCTCACACACTCTTAGGCTCACACACACACACACACACACTCCTCAGCGCTGACTCGTGTGTGTTTGTGTAGATCTTCGACGAGGTGGAGAAGCGGCGGCAGATCTCTAAAGCCATGATCTATCCGTTCATGCAGAGCCTGCGGGAGGCGCCGCTGCCCTCGCCCGGAAACACCGTCAGCATCAGCAGCTTCATCCCGGACGCCGGCACAGAGGTGTGTGTCGCTCTCATTCTGTGTGAACGCTAACGACTCAGATCTGATAACACCTCTGCTCTCAGATCATCAGTCTGACGCGGCCGGCCGAGTCCTGGCTCGAACACGTGGACTTCCACACGCTCTTCCGCTGCCTGAACGATGAGGAGGTGCTGATGGTGTTCGCCGCCACCGTCACGGAGCGACGGATCATCTTCATCTCCGAGGAGCTCAGGTGAGCAGCGCAGCCAATCAGAGTGCAGCGCAGATTTACTGCACTTCAGAGGGGGGCGTTAATTCATATTTATACCAGGCATAATCATTCATCGTTACTGAACATCACATATGCATATTAGAATGTTTAAAATACTAAACTTAAAAAAAAAAAGAATTGAATATGTAACATTTCATATATATTTAATGATTAAAAGGAATACTTAAAAGTGAAAAACATTTTTATATTATTTCATAATAGAATATGTTAAAATATAATAGTTTAAAAATATAGTTGAATATGTACTATTTAATATATATTACAGAATATTGAATAAATGCGTAGTGTTTAGAAATGATAAGAAAAACATTCAAACTTAAAAGCACAAAAATATGTTTTAAAGAAATTATCCGTTTTTATATTCTTTTAATAATTATTCATTATAGTTATACTTATAATAATCAATATCTGTTAAATAAAAATATTCATGAGAATATTTAATACCGATATAA